GGGATTTCCAGACTTTTGAATCAGCAAGAATGAAGGCTTGGTGATATAGTTCCATCCGCCCTCTGAAATAGCCTAGCAAACCATTCAGTTTTATCAATCACTAGAAAGTCTAAAAAAAGGTATGAAATGAGATGCACCACCCAGCATCAACTGATGTACCGGAAAGGATTATGGTAAACACAACCCTGTCAACCCTGCAACATCCTCCTTACTAACACCTAGCATCTTGTGCCAAAATTGGGAGCGATGTCACACAGATTAGTTGAGAAACAGCAAGACACAGTGATACTCATGGAATTATGCCTTGCAAACAATGTCCTAGAGGCCATCCCTGGGTATGTCCTATGCCACCAGCAATATTGACCCAGCAGAGGTGGCGACACTGTGATACACAATTGGAAAGGGGTTGTCTTGGGAATCCTCAACACTGACTCTGGACCCCATTAGGTCTCATGCCATTAGGTCAAACATGGATAAGGAAACCTCCTGCTGATTAACACATACTGCTCCCCTCCATTCCCTGTTGATGAATCAATACTCCTCCATATTGAACATCAGGTGGAGATGCAAAGGGTGCAGAATATATTCTGGGTAGGTGTCTTCAATGTTCACAACCACAGTAGCTCAGCAGCACTGCCACTGACCAAATTGGTTGAGTCCTAAAGCATATAGCTGCTAGACTGAGTGTGCAGTAGGTGGTGAAGGAGCCAACAAGATGGAAAACATGCCTTACTTCATTCTCACCAACTTTTTTGCTACAGCTGCATCTGTTCATGAGACTATTGGTAACAGTGACCACAACACAGTTCTTGTGGAGACAAAACACTGCCTTCACATTGACTTTACCCTCCATTGTGTTGTGTGGAACTAAAAGGTGAAGTCACCATGCTTTTAACCAGACTACCTGGCTACTCTCTTATCAGAAAGAGACATTTGATGGGAGCTTAATTTGAGGGTCACCACACTTCAGGCAAGCAGAGGAGAATCCTTCATGTTAATTTCAGCAGTGACAGAAATTGAACCCAGACTACTTAGCACCACTCTCTGGTCACAAACCAACAACCCAGCCAAATGAGCTAAACCAACTGATATATAGCACTATCAACAGGCTAAATGGGAAAGATTTCAAACAGATATAGCAAATCAAAACTGGGCATCAATGAAACACCAACTCATCAGCAGCAGCAGAATTGCATTCCAACACAATCTACAACCATGGGACCTGACATATTGTCCACTCTACCATTACAATCAAGCCAGGGGATTAACCTTGGTTGAATGAAGGGTGCAGGAGGGCATGCCAGGGGCGGCACCATCCATACCTAAAAATGAGGTGTTAATCTGATAAATCTATAAATTAGGACAATTTGTAGACCAACCAGCATTAACAACAAGTGATAGACATGGCTAAGTGATTCCACAACCAATAGATTAGATCTAAACTTTGCAGTCCTGTCACATTCAGTCATGAACAGTGTTGGACAAGCAACTCACTGGAGAGGGAGGTTCCACAAATATCTCCATTCACAAAAATAGGGTAGCTCAGGACATTAGTGCAAAATACAATGCTGAAGCATTTGCAACAATCTTCAGCCAAAAATGCCGAGTGCATGATCCATTTTAACCTCCTTCAGAGTTCATTAGCATCACTGATGCCAATTCGATTCACTCCATGTGATTTATTTATTTGCTTGTGGGACATGGGAGTTGCCCCTAGTTGCTCTTGAAAAGATGGTATGGAGTTGCCTTCTTGAACCATTGCAGTCAACGTGCTGTAGGTTGAACCACAATGTCCTTTGAGAGGAATTTCCAGGATTTTGACCCAGCATCAGTGAAGGAATGGCAATATGTTTCCAAAGTCAGGATGGTCAGTGACTTGGAGAAGAATTTGCAAGTGATGGTGTTCCCTTGAATCTGCTGCCCTTGTCCTTCTAGATGGAAGCGATTGTGGCTTTGGAAGGTGCTGTCTAAGGATCTTCAGTGAATCAAGAAACAGCTGGAGGCACCAGAAACTACAAAGGCTATGGACCCCAATAGCAATCCTGCAATACTTATAGAATACTTCATTCAATTCGAATGTAAAGTTTTGGCAAAGATCTGTATCTCGGGTTATGAATGAGGTTGTTGACTTGCTCGCTGAGCTGGCTTGTTTTTGTTCAGACGTCTCGTCACCATGCTAGGTGACATCATCAGTGCAGCCTCCGATGAAACGATGTTATTTTACTCCGCTTGGAACTTATACTGTCCGGCCCATTATGGCAAGTACTGTCATTTCCAGTTTTGATCTGTATGGGTTTGTATATGGGGTCCAATTCTATATGTTTGTTGATTGAAGTATGGGTGGAGAACCATGCCTCTAGGAATTCCTGTGCGTGTCTACTGGGACAAAGTAAGCATAGTAGCCCAAGCCAAACATAGACATGCATGGGAATTCCTAGAGGCATGGTTCTCCACCCACACTTCAATCAACAAACATATAGACAATGAGGAAAATGTCCAGGTTTGGTCTGTAAACAGAACCAGGAGAAATCCAATTAATTACTGCCTCTTCTTGATTATCAGTAAATTGATGGAAACTGTTTGATGAGATGGGTGGGTGGGATGTCCTGGATTGTTTGCGCTCTTTCTGCTGCTTGCACTTGACCTCCATGTGCTCCATTCAGTGACAAGTCTTTGGCTCTTCACGGATTCTTCTCCAGATTGAGTGTTCTAAGGGAAGTGATTCCCATGTGTCAGTGAGGATGTTGCTTTTGCTTAGGAGGGCTTTCAGGGTGCCCTTATAGCATTTGCTCTGCCCTCTTAATGATTGCTTACCATTGTGGAGCTCAGAGTAGAGGACTTGTTTATGGAGTCTTGTCGTGCATTCAGACAAGGTACTCGTCGTGGGCCAGCATTTATTGCCGGTCACAAGTACTCCTTGAGATGGTGGTGGTGAGTTGCCTTCTTGAAACACTTCAGTCCATGTGCTGTGGGTAATCCCACAATGCTTTCCATGAGGGAACTCCAGGATTTTGACCCAGTAACGGTGATGGAATGGCGAAATATTTCCAAGTCAGGATGGTGAGTTACTTGGAGGGAAACTTGCAGATGGTGGTAATCCCATGTACCTGCTGCCCTTGGTCCTTATAGATGGAAATGGTCGTGGGTTTGGAAGGTGCTAACGAGCTTTGGTGAATTTTTGCAGTGCATCTTGTAGATGGTACACACTGCTTCTACCAAGCATCAGGCTTGTAGGGAGTGGACATATGTAGATGCCAAGTATGCAAGCTGCTTTGTCCTAGATGGAGTCTTGAGTGCTGTTGGAGCTGCACTCATCCAGGCAAGTGGGGAGTATTCCATCACACTCCTGACTTGTGCCTTGTAGATGGTGAACAGGCTTTGTGGATTCAGGAAGTGAGATATCTGTTGCAGGATGCCAAGCCTGTTACCTGGTCCTGTGGCAACTGTATTTGTATGGCAAGTCCATTTGAATGTCTCATCAGTGGAAAACCCCAGGATGTTGATAGTGAGGGATTCAGTGATAGTGACGTCACTGAATGTTAAGGGCAATTGTTTTAGTTAATCTCTTATTGCAGATGGTCATTGCCTGACATTTGAGAGGCATGAATGTAACTTGTCACTTTTCAGCCCAAGCCTCGATATGGTCTGCTTCAATATCCAAGGCAATGAGGACAGTACTGAACATTGTATAATCATCAGCAAACATTCCCACTTCTGTTCCTGTAATGGAGAAGAATGAAGCAGATGAAGATGGTTGGGTCTAAGATAGTGACACATTATCGCAGAGTGCTGTGGAGGCCAAGTCATTGAGTGTATTTAGGACAGAGATAGGTTCTTGATCAGTAAGAGGATCAAGGGTTACAGGAAGAAGGCAGGAGAATAGAGTTGAGAGACTTGATAGGCCTGATTCTGCTCCTATATTTTATGGTCATAGGACACTATTCTGAGAAGACCTCCTGTAAAGACGTCCTGGAGATGAGGTGACACAGCGTGGAGCTGGAGGAACACAGCAGGCCAGGCAGCATCAGAGGAGCAGGAATGCTGACATTTTGGGTC